AAGTTTAGTAATGTGTTGAATTCAACATCCCCAAAACATCATTATTTAACACATTTACGTTCAGGTATTTTACAATTAGCCACTCACTACGTTCAAAATCCTACATTTTATACTTACTAAAATATGTCTTTATTAATGAAAGACTTTAGTAGGCAACACCGTAAATTTTGCTTCAGAAGAGTTCTGGATAACACACACCCACTGCAGACTAGTAGAACCTGCATTCTGGCTTGGGCCCTAGGAATCTGATAGGGGTTAAACTCTTCCACCTTTTAAAACTGAATTTAAGTTTCAGTTCTCTGAGAAGGACACACAGGTGTCTTTTGTAACAAAGGGCCCTTTGTCTACAAGGCCCTTACATTCTGGGTGGAGGAAGAGAGGACAGGGCCTAAGTCAGCCTCACAGTATCTCAAGTACAAACCTAGCAGCCTCGTTCTGAGTCACATCCGAGCTTGTGCAGATGTGTCCAAAAGTGATAAGACCAAACCTCAGTCAATTAGAAATATATTAATGTGACCAATGCTTGCTTAACCAATTATGTAGCTGACCCTGAAACTCCCCTTAGGTGTGCTTAAAAGGAGCTTGCTGGTCCCTCTCAGGGTCGTTAGTTACCATTTTGTGCAAGTGAATGACCCCACATGCATGCTGGTATAATAGAATGCTCCTTGCAGTTATATCCTATTTGAGTCTGAGGTCTTCCTTCAGCGTTTCCTCGGACCCTACACAACCCAGGACTGTTTCTACTTGTTCTCCTTCGTCATGCAGTTTCCTCTTCAGGGGGAATATGACAGTTCCAATCTCCTATCTGTGAAGAGTTCTGCTGCCCTGAGAGCTAAAGAAAGTTCATCCACACAGCCTACACTTAAGCTTCCAGAGGGCTTTGCTTCAGATGCCGAGTGACTTCAGTATCACACAAAAGTTTATAAATTAAAAAGCCTGCTCTGTTGAGAACTGGGTGTGCTGGTGCATGTCTTCATTGCCTGCACTCAGGAGGGAGGCAGGGACAGGCAACTGAACTCTGGTCAGCCTACTCTACAGGGCATGTTCCAGGACAGCCAGGGCTACACAGAGAAACCCTGTCTAAACAAACAAAAGAAACAAAACAAAACGAAAAGGCCTGTGTTGTGTTCTTTAGGTGTCTCTGATAGTCATCAGGTTCTATTGATATAGCATTTTGAGTGCTGCATTGATATTTGATACTATCAGGCTCCAGAACATAAATTCCTTCAGTCTTGAGGCTGCAAAGGGAGACCCCCCCCCACACACACACAGAGTGAATCCTGTGGCTTTCCTTACCTTGTTGTCTACCTCAGCCCCCACCCTGATTATTTTTCCCTTTTAAAAGATTTTTAGTTATGTGCACCTGTGTTTCTGGTTGTGTGCATATGTGTGATGGTGTCTGCAGACCCTCCTGAGTAGACCTGCTGGTGATTGTGAGCCATCTGATATTGAGTGCTGGCAATCAAACTGAAAACTTGTCCTTTGCAAGAGCAGTTAGAACTTTTATCCACTGAGCCATCTCTCCAGCCAACCCTTGCAGATTTGTTTTTTCCTACCAGGCTGGCTTCCAACTCACTGAGATTCACCTGCCTCTGCCTCCCAAGTGCTGGGAATAAAGGTGTGTGCCACTGCCACCGCCACCACCCACCACCAGGCTCCTTGTATATTTTTAAGAAAATTCCCTCGCTATGGAGGCCATGCTAGCTAGCCTCAGTGGCTTCAGGGCTGATGCTTGATTTGAAACCTGAAATTATGTACACTTCTCAAGTGCTGGAATTACAGGTAGATGCCAACTGGCTCCCTGCTTTTTCTCTCTATAGTTCCACAATTGTGTGCTCGTGTGTGTGTGTGTGTGTGTGTGTGTGTGTGTGTGTGTTGCATCCCATAGTGAACATGTGGAGATTAGAAGTGGCAGGAGTGACTGCCTTCTTCAGGTGGGTAGGTCAGGAATGGAACTCAAGTTACCCTGCTTAGAAGCAAATACCCTTATCTCTAAGCATTTGCTGTGCCCACCCCCACCAAGACATTTAAAGGGACTGTGCAATTGCTTTACAGAGGGAACCATGACCTTCCAGAGCCCATGCATGCTAAGTTTGTTCTCAGGGCTGGTTATTTGGGCATCTTCCTTCCTCCCACCCCAGACGTTGACCTAAGTGGCTGACAAAAAGCTCAAACTTTAAAGTTCTTCAGCAAACGAGGGAAAAGGTCGATGCTATCTGTCGCAGAAACTTCTTGCCTGCCACCTTCCAATCTTGACCTCAAAACATTTTCCAGAACATCCCCAGTATCTTGCTCCTCTCTGCTGTTCGGTCACCCCTTGCCACAGATTACCCCTTCCCGCCTGAATTAGGCCAGTGCCCCCTGAATCAGCCAGGGGCTCCCAGATGCTTCTTATTCTGGGCGTGTGTGCGGCAGCACTTACGCTTAGCCACCCCACAAACGTTTGCTGAACACTATATGCTGTGCGCTCAACAAGGGCAGGCACACACAACTCCCAATGATACCACAGTGCTCAAAGACTGCAAACTCGAGTATAAAAGTAAAATAGTAATAATAATAATTGTCCAAGTTCCAGGAACCATGAATTAGGCACCAATGTCCGGAGATGTATTTATTCAACGTTTACACAGGCGTTTGCTTGATGTGAGTTACTATGCTTGTGTGTGGAGCCTTAACAAACACGGGAAGGCTACAGATCGAGCTTGCGGCGAGCTCAGAAACTGCTTTAGGAAGACGGGGACACCCCACTCGCTCAGGTGACCAGGTGAAGGAGCCGAGGTCACGCTGTCAGTCACACATAGCTTCAAGGCTTTGGAGAAGCGGTGCAGACCTCCCCTTTCACCAGTCTCGTTCATTCGTTCCCAGCGACGACGCCCGACTCGGAACCAGTCACTCGGCCGACAGGAGAAGATCGTCCTCGGGGCAAGGAGAATCACTCAAACAGGTCCGAAAAACTGCCACTTCAGGTGCCTCGGGCCGCGGACCTGCCCTCGAGTTTCCGTTTCCGGTGGAGTGTAAACAGGAAGTGCTCCGGGATGCTGGAGCGCCGCGCGGAGGCTGCCAGGAGGAATCCTGGTGCCACCACGTCCCTCGTGCGGGGGCGGGGACATGCAAATGAGATGCGACGGCCGCGCGCGCGGGATGCCGGGAGCGCCAGGGTCGTGGAATTTGTAGCGGAAGCTGTGGATCTGAGGGAGCGAGTGGGTTGCCGAGGCCGCGGACACGGCCGCGAAGCGGAAGGAGGCGCGGGGAGGAGGCAGGAGGCAGGTTCGCGAGCGGTCACCACGACGTTGGTGTGGGTCGCGAGCGCTGGGTAAGGGAGCGTGGGAGGCGGTGGGTATCGCTTCTCGGCCTTTTGGCTAAGATCAAGTGTAGTATCTGTTCTTATCAGTTTAATATCTGATACGTCCTCTATCCGAGGCCAACATATTAAATGGATTTTTGGAGCTAGGAGTTGGAATAGGAGCTTGCTCCGTCCACTCCACGCATCGACCTGGTATTGCAGTACTTCCAGGAACGGTGCACCCCCTCTCGGGGAGTGAACTTAGTTGAAAAAAAGATGTTTTTGTCTCATAGTTCAAAATCCCTTGTTTTTCTCTCAGATTTCGGAGTAGTTATACTGAAAATAGCTACTTTCTGTGTTATATTGTCTTTAAAGCTTATAGTATGTGGTAAGCCTTTTCCTATGTGGCTCTTTCTAGTTTTTGAACTTGCTGTTTCAGCTAGTGAAGACCTGCAAGGTTTGCTTGCTATAAATTCCCCCCTATTAAAGTATGAGAATTAAAAGAGTGGGCAGGACAATGGGGAAAATGAGGATAATGTATGGGGGGAGGTACAGGTGGAAAGATGGTTTTGAACTGGTATAGGTCTGGGTCTAGTTTGAGGTGCTGGGGATCAAACTAGAATTTCATATAGCTGTGCAGTTTAGCTTCACCCCCCCCCCCCAGACAGTTTTACAGATTATTTCTCTTACCCTGCCTTGTGAAAATTGAACTGGGCCGTTTTCGTTTTTTGTTTTCCGAGACAGGGTTTTAGCACTCGCCCTGGAGACCAGGCTGGCCTGGAGTTTACAGAGATCCGCCTGTCTCAGTGCCCCAACACCCGGTTTACATGCTTGTTTTGTTTTTTTCTCCCTTTGTCAAATGGCCATAGGTGTTGTCAATAGGGGATGAAGAAGAGAGACACTGTAGGACACAGGTTCTCAGCCTCTGATGGAGATGGCTCAGTGGTAAAGCACGTTCATTGCTCTTGTGGAAGACCTGAGTGAATTCGGTTTCCAGCACCCATGTCAGGTGGCTCCCAACTGTTTGAAATTCCTGCTCATCTGATGTCTCTGACCTCTTTGGTCTTTCGGTCACTGTACTCACGTGCACACACCAGATGGGAGATGTTCTTCCGTATATGTGCCTCTCTTATTGGTTGATGAATAAAACGCTGTTTGGCTAATAGAGGCAGGAAGATAGGTGGGGCGAGGAGAATTCTGGGAAAAGTAGGCCGAGGGAGCCCACCAAAAAGAGATGATGTAGCGGACCAGGAAGATAGGACAGGCCAGGTGTTCTCTGGTAAGATAAGGCCAGATAGAAATATGTAGATTAATAGTTATGGGTTAATAATTAAGACAAAGCTAGTCAGTAAGAAGCCCTAGGTCATTGGTCAACAGTTTTATAACTAATATAGTGTTGCTGTGTGTTATTTGGGGCTGAAGTGGCAGCGGCACAGGCTGGGAAACCTACAGCAACACATACACACATACACACAGAGACACAAATTTACACGTATTTAAAAAAAACTTTAAAAAACATTGGTTAAAAGATAACTGATTTGGACACAAAGGTACATTTATTTTGGGAGCAGTTTTTGCATAGATAAAACTGATAGCATTAAAATTAGGGTGTTTTTTTTTTTTGCCCCCACAGAAATTATAATCTCTTGTGAAGTACAAAGCATTCTCAAGATGCTAAGGCACACAGGAACATGGCAGGCAGGTGCTTAGAGATGCCTTAGAGCTTGGACTTCTTAAAAGATTCCTTCATTCTCCTGACCACAGAAAAGTCCCCAACTCCCTCAGGCCAGTTGTCATGATCTGTTTAGTAAGTGGAAAAGAGCATGTCACTTGCAAAACTCTTAAACCTTTGTCCTAGTTTCTAACCAAATGTCATGCTTGCTTGTGTTTTTAACTCATCAAGGCTTGGAAAAAGAAATCTGTAGGACAAAAAGTTTTGCAAAAAATCCTTAGATTTGAATGCCAGGCCAGCCACTCATTAGCTTTCCCAGTTGGAAAGCATCGGTCTTCTGTGTGTAAAGGGAGGAACTGTCAGTGCCTCCCACCCTCTGCCTCAGGTTATTCGTTAACAGTGGGCATCTTTGTGCACTGATCCAACACAAAGCAGATTCAGAACCATGTAAATCATTCTAAAATGAGATCCTCCCCCTCTCCTGGCTCTTCGATCATGTGTAATCTAACTTAATCCCCCAACATTCCCAGGAAATACATTCTCGTTTTTCTTTTGAGACAGGGTCTCTCTACATAGACCTGGATGTCCTGGATTTCACTATGTAGACCATAAACCAGATTTCAAACTCACAGAGATCTGTCTGCCTCTGCCTCTCAAGTGTTGGGATTAAGGGCATGTGCCATCCTGCCTAGCTTCTCTTTCCTTTTCTGAAGCAAAACACCTCAGCCACCAGTAAGCAGCACTGATTCAACTGCACTGCGCTCACTATTGATGAAATACCACCTTGGCATTTTTGTCTTTGCAACTGAGGTCCTAACAAATATAGTATTAGGATTGTGGTGGTGCACACCTTTAATCCCATCACTTGGAAAGCAGAAGCAGGTGGATCTCTGTGTTTGAGAGCAGTCTGGTCTACATAGTAAGTTCCAGGACAGCCAGGGCAACATATGTCTCAAAACACCAAAACAAACAAACAAAAAACCCAGCTACCTAACTGTAGTATTAAGAATATCACCATATTCATATTAGACATTCACAAGTATGGAAAAAAGACTGGTGGCAGGCAGTCTTATCAGCCGCATGTTAATTTGCTAATAGCCACTTGTAACTGTATTTGGAAAGAGGTCAAATACACACACACACACACACACACACACACACACACACACACACATTTTCTGAGGTTTGGGGGTTTTAGCATGCTTTTTATTTATCTATTTTGGTTTTTCGAGACAGGATTTCTCTGTGTAGCTTTGGAGCCTGTCCTAAAACTCGCTCTGTAGACCAGGCTGGCTTCGAACTCACAGAGATCCATCTGCCTCTGCCTCCTGAGTGCTGGGATTAAAGGTATGCACCACCAATGCCTGGCTTAGCATACTTTTTAAAAAATTATTTATTTATTTATTTATTTGTTTATTTTGAGACCTCTAATCTACACAGACCAGGCTGGCCTCATGTAGCTGAGAATAACCTTGAATTTTTGATCCTCATGCCTCTACCACCTTGAATGCTGGGATTATAGGCATGCTAAACTACCACCTCTGGCTTTGTGGGGTGCTGGGAATTTAATCCAGGGTTTGTGTGTGCTGGTCAAGTAGTTTACAACTGAGCAATATCCCTGGACATTAGCATGTTTTAAAATTTGTATGTTTTATGTGTATGTGTGAATGCTTGCATGCATCTCTAGCTAACACATGTGTGCCTGGTGCCTGTAGAGGCCAGAGGAGGGTATCAGCTCACCCAGAACTAGAGTTACAGATGGCTGTGAGCCACCATGAAGGCTCCTCTGGAAGAGCAGCCAGTGTGTGTAACTGAGTCACTCTTCAGCTGGTGCTTTTTACTTTCTGGGGATTTGTCATTGGTAAAACTAGGTCGCTGAACATATGATTTTTGTTTGTTTGTTTGTTTGTTTGTTTTGAGACAGGGTCTCTCCATGTAGCCCTGGCTGGCCTGGGAACTCAGAGATCTGCTTGCCTCTGCCTCCTGAGTTCTGGAGTTAAAGGTCAGTGCCACCACACCTGGATTAGACTATCTGATTTTTTAAGACCCTTCCAAATCCAAGAGAGATACAAACACACACAACCAATCATGTAATATTGGGGTTTTTTGTTCTTGGTTTTTGTTTTTTTTGTTTGTTTGTTTTTTGAGACACGGTTTCTTTGTATTGCTTTGCAGTTTGACCTGGAACTCACTCGCCTCTGCCTCCTGAGAGCTGGGATTAAAGACGTGTGCCACCAACACCAAGTAATATTGTTATTGAACTGAATTTACAAAAACACATTTTCAAGTCAAGCATCATTGCACAGACCTGAAATACCAGCACTCAGGAGGCGGAGGGCAGCCTGGGCTATACAGAGAGATTCTGTCTCAATAAAGTAAAATAAATACTGCTTTTATGAATAAAAAATGGGGGGGAGGCTGGAGAGATTGCTCAGTGGTTAAGAGCATTGGGTGTTTTCCCAGAGGACCCGGGTTCAATTCCCAGCACCCACATGGCAGCTCACAACTGTCTGTAACTTCAGCTCCAAGGGATCTGACACTTTTACACCAATGCGTGTAAAAAAAATTTAAATAAATTATCAAGAAACAATTAGAGACAGAAACTGATCATTATATATACTCCAAAGAGAGAACAAAGTAGAGTTAGACTGCACAGACTCTTCCATCTATGTGAACCCCTTACTAGAGAGGAAAAGGGAAATTAAAACTTTAAAACATAGGCAGCTTTTTGCCTCCTCTCTATCACTCTTTGTACTTACAGGTTTAGAGATTTTCTTCAGCTGAGAACATTTTCTTTAAAGTCCTATCACAAACATAAACATTTTGTACTTTTTGATGCCCTGTAATAGAAAGCCTTCCCCTCTGCAGTAGTGTTTAAGACACGAAGCCTGGGCAGGTGAAGAGCTAATGACTTTACTTCTGGCTGCTTACCCGGTATACTGACGGAGTGACTATACAAAGACTGGCCCCCGTCCACATTGACCAACTGTCCAGTGATAAAGGATGCTGCAGGGGACAGCAGGAAACACACCAAGGATGAGACCTGGGGACAGAAGAGGAAATGTGTATACATAAGAGGAAAGGCTAAAAAAAATTAAGAAAAGGAACAAAGGCTTTTCTTCTCCATTCCCGGGAGCCTGGTACTCCTGAATGACCACATCTCAAACCGCAGGACTTCATCATGAATCCTCATGTATGAGCAGCAGGATCTGACAGCACGGAGACCGTGTGCTTTTACAGTTTGGACAACAGTGAAGTCAGGTAAAAGATCAGGGTAAAGGCAGTAGGATGTGAAGAGGCCTTGGACAGTAGCAGTCAAGCATCAGGGCGTGAAGAAGCTGCAGGTGGAACCCCAAATTTCGGCAGTTTCCCTTCTGAAGCTCCCCTCGTCTGACTCAATCCTATTTGTCGTCACTGCCACATGCTCCTTACAGCTTGGTCCCAGACAGAGTAAGGTTGTGTAGCAGGGCTGGCATTCTGATTTGTTCAGTCTGTGGCCCTGTCAGGCCCAAGGCACAGCTATGCAGATCACAGGAGCTTTCCACCAGCGGGACTTCAAGGTCCCCATCACTCCCCCCCGCCCCATGTAGTCACTTGGTGAGGTTCTAGAGAAACTCCCCAAACTAAAAAGAATTCATTTTACTGATGGTAAAAGGAGTTCTGCAAAGGGTGATGGAACTGAGCACAGCCCTCTCCTAGGACTGACGTATTTGTTAAACAAACAAACAACCAAACAACAGTGAGGGGAGCAGACAGCCCGAATGTGATCAGACCCCTCAGAGGGTAGGAGAGAAACAATTCCACATGCACCATAGCACATGCATGTCCTGACACATGCTTAGACACACACACACACACACACACACACACACACACACACACACACACACACCAAGTGCTTTTGCTCCACAGAGAAGTAGAGTGGCAGCCATCTCAAGAAAGGGCTCTCCCACTAGTTTTTACATTTTACTTACACGTGTGTATAAGGCTCGTGTCCTGTGTGGGCATGTACACTCATGAGTGCAGGTGCTTGAGGATCCAGAAGGACTCAGACCTCACAGACCCACAGTTGTGAGCCACTTAATGTCGATCCTGAGAAGCAAACCTGGGTTCTCGGTGAGAGCAATATGTGCTTTTTTGTTGTTTTGTTTTTCAGGACAGGGTTTCTCTGTGTAGCCTTGGCTGTCCTGGAACTCACTCTGTAGACCAGGCTGCCCTGGAACTCAGAGTTCCTCCTGAGTGCTGGGATTACGGGTGTGTGCCACCACCATCTGGCTTCAACACGTGCTCATAACCACTGGCAATCTCTCGAGTTCCACAACCACTTTTTTTTGGGGGGGCAGTTTCGAGACAGGGTTTCTCTGTGGCCTTGGAGGCAGTCCTAGAACTAGCTCTTGTAGACCAGGCTGGTCTCGAACTCACAGAGATTGTCCTGCCTCTGCTTTCCAAGTGCTAGGATTAAAGGTGTGCACCACCACCACCTGGCCTCCACAACCACTTTTTTAATGAAACATAATGTTTACCTGATGTTTAAAATGGCTGGATTATAGTTAAAGTGAGTATCTGGACAAGTTTTTTTTTTCATGTATTCATTAAAATTTTTGACATTTTCTTGTTTTTGTTTTTTTTGTTTTAGATTTTATTTATTTATTATGCATACAACATTCTGCTTCCATGTATATCTGCACACCAGAAGAGGGCACCAGATCTCATTACAGATGGTTGTGAGCCACCATGTGGTTGCTGGGAATTGAACTCAGAACCTCTGGAAGAGTAGTCAGTGCTCTTAACCTCGAGCCATCTCTCCAGCCCCCAATTTTTGACATTTTCATGTATGTATATAATGAATTTCAGTCATTCTCCCCATTACCCTCTCTCATCTCTCTCCTATTCCCACTGAATCTCCTCTTCTCCAAACAAGTGCCCCCCTCTCAGTAAGCACCTTTTTTCTTCTTTCTTCCTTTCTTTTTTACAAAGGAAGTGAGGCATACATGCAGGCAGAACACTGAATACATAAAAATAAATCTTTAAATAAAAAAAGAAAAGGGAGTATAGTGATACCATGTCAGGTTCCACACTGCAACTAATTTTAAAGAAACTGTTGGGGCTGATGTAGCCGACCTCTAGCAGGCCCAAGATCCCGGCGTCACTCTCCCACAGTGAATAAACCAGGTGGTGCCAGCCTGTAATCCTAGCACTCGAGACACTGAAGCAGGGGCATCAAAGATTCAAGTCATTCTCTGCTACATATCAAATTGGGGGCCAGCCTGGAATACATGTCTCAAAAAATACATATAAAAACAAAACCAACCAACCAAACCAAAATAGATAAATAAATTGCTTATCACTTGTTGAATTAAGAAAAAAAAAGAGATTTCCAGGCAGTGGTGGTACAACACTAGGGAGGCAGAGGCAGGTGGATCTATGTGAGTTCCAGGCCAGCCTTGTCTACAGAGTGAGTTCCAGGACAGTCTCCAAGCCTACAGAGAAACCCTGTCTCAAGAAACCAAAAAAAATAAAATAAAACAAAAAAATAAAAAGATTGATCTTCATCTGGACGGCTTTTCAAATGATCTCTTCTTTTCCAGCTCTCCAGCTGTAGGAACCCAGACTTTCTTCCTATGGTTTTGCTAAAAAGTCAGATTTCAACAGATTGAATGAAGACGCAAAGGCAATGGTCCAGCACATGTGAGAAAGCCACAAATTAAAAAGTTTGTAAATGTATCAAATGAATATAAAAAGAAATGCTTTGTTTGGGAAAAGGTAGCTATTGTATCTAAAATATTAACATAATGCTTGTTATTTTTTAAATGAAGTAGTATTTCTTACATTCTTGAATTAAATTTCTAATATGACTCTGACACTCTAACTCACATTAACAAAAAGCCATCTATCCCAAGTAAAATTTAATCATGTTATCCGCTCATTTCAAATAATTTAAAGTCTTTCCTTTCAGAAGGAAGATGTTAACAGAACATAGCCCATCAAATGGTTATTTGGGGCAGCATCTTCCTTATTATTATTTTGTTTTTTTAAGACAGACTCTGTCTATGTTGCCATAGTGGCTCTCCTAAAACTCTCTACGTAGACCAGGTTAGCCTCTAACTCACAGAGAGCTGACTGTGCCTCTGCCTCCCATAGTACTGAGACTAAAGGCATGTGACACCATGCCCAGCTGGTATCTTCTAAGTTTTAGTATAGTATCTACGCTAGTTTAGGATTTCATGCCTTGAAATAGACTCTCTCTCCCTACAGCGGGGGACCACATTCAGGACCACATTCAAAATAGATGGTGTAATGTGCTTCTAAAGGTGTCCTAACACATGTGCTGACTGACCTATCAGTGTGTGTGTGTGCAGTGCAAGGGAAGCATACACACACATACACATATATGTGGCATGAATACACACACAAACACACACCACACACACACACACACACACACACACACACACACACACCTACACACAATGAAAATGAATAAATTTAAATTTAAAAATCTTGGATAGTTTTTGCACAAATATTTATCTAGATAACTCTTCTCAAAATGCTAAATTCCAAAATTATATGTAATTTAAACATTGATATAAGGAAATCTGACTATTTAAGAAAATCTTTTTAATTGCCTTGGAGAGATGACTCAGTAGTTAAGAACATGTCTTTGCTCTTGCCAAGAACCTGAGTTGGTTCCCAGCACCCATGTCACACAGCTCACAATGGCCTGTTAATTCCAGCTTTGGAGGATCCAACACCCTCTTCTGACCTCCGGGGGCACTGAACTCATGTGTGCCACTGTTTATGTGGCAGTCAAGGGACAACCTGTGGGAGTTCGAATCATATCTTTACCTGATGACCCATCTTACTGGCATCTAAAACTTTGTAATTTGCCTTAAATTTTGTTTTGGATCTTGTTTCTTTGATTTTTGGAGACAGAGTTTCACTAGGTAGCCCAGGCTGGCCTGGAACTTGCTATGTAGACCAGGCTGGATTCATTTTCACAGAGATTTCACTGTCTGCTTCTGCCTCCTGCGTACTAGGATTAAAGGCATGGGCCCAGCAAAAATTGACTTTTAATAAAATTGATTCTCCTACCAAGAAATATGACGTATATTTATTTCAAATATTTATGTTGTTAGTGTGTGTGTATATGAGTGTGTGTGTATATGAGTGTGTGTGTGTATGAGTGTGTGTGTATGAGTGTGTGTGTGTATGTGTGTGTGTGTGTGTGTGTGTGTGTGTGTGTGTGTGTGTGTGTGTAGGATTACACATGTGAGTGCAGGTGCCTGCCAGCAGAGGCCAGAGGCGCTGGATCCCCCCAAAGTGGTAATTATAGGCAGCTGCTAACCTTCTGATGTGGTTGCTGGGAATTGAACTCAGGTCCTCTGAAGAGCAGTTCCTGCTGTTAACTACTGAGCCATCTCTCCAGCCCCCAATTCCTTTATTTATCTGTTTTTTTTCATTCTTCAATAAGAACCTTCTCCCCCACTTCCACCATCATTAGAGCTACGTTTACTTCTAGGTCATTTGAAAAAACTATTGGTTTCTACATACTGAACTTCATGAGTCTATAATTATCTGGCTTCCGTAGAGCGGCTTGCACCAACACTGCATGTGGTAAAATAATGTAGCTGCAAAGAGGCATGAAACAAGAAAACATGTTGTCTTTAACTTCACAACCTGCATTCCTGAGGAAAATTCTGCCCTCAGAAGTCAAAACAATTAACTAGGTTATTTCCCAGAGCCCAAAGCACAGGAGAAACAGTTTGGTGGCAGTGGAATAATTGTCTCTATTAGTGAGCCAGGCCACGTGCCGAGGGTTCCAAATGTCACACATTTCTCAAGTCACTCTCATCAATGCCAGACATATACATCACCTCCTCAGGGATTCCAATTCGCTTAGCTGGGATATTATCAAAGGCCTTTTCAAACATGCTTTGTCCCAATTCACCATAGTTGTCAACAGCAGTCTGGGAATAAATAACTCCCTATATGAGAAAACAAAACAGGAAGGAGATTAAACAGGGAAAATAAAATTGTCAAGACACCACAGGCTGGGGATGTAACTCAGAGGAAGGGCATTTGTCTAGCATGCTCTAGGCTCCGTTCCTAGTGTCTAAACAACAGCAACCAGCAGGCATCAGGGAAATACAACCGCCAACAACGAAGTGTCAACAGACAAGATAAACATTCTTTTTTTTTTTTTTTTCAAAGATTTATCTCTCTTATGTATTCAGTGCTCTGTCTGAATACCAGAAGAGGGCATTACAGATGATTGTGAGCCACCATGTGGTTGCTCTGGAACAGCAGGCAGTGCTCTTAACCTGTGAGCCATCTCTCTAGCCCCAAGGTAAATGTTTCTAAATCAGCTTTTCTCAAGACTGTCAAAGGGGGTCCAGCCAATCACTGTGTACCAGCAGAGCGTTTGAATGGTCACTTGGGAAGCCTTCTCCCCTTTAATAACCAGTTAAGTCTTGGACCTTTTCGTGCAAGACTCGGTTGTTGAAGAGCATGTTTATGTTAAGTAATTTAGCGGGGTACTTAGCCAGGACAAAGGGCCTAACCCTCCTAGGAGCATGCCTGCTTTACCAGGGAAGAGGTGCAAGTATAGGGTTTCCAAATTTAAAGTGAAATTTTAAAAATACATTATAATCCAAGGTTTATGTATGTATCTGGGAACTCTAATTTTAAAATTTTTGTATTTTAAATTTTGAGTGGGTGTATGAATTGCATGGATATGCACATGCATATGGAAGTCAAAGGTTGACATCAAGTTTCCTATTTATTTATTTATTTATTTATTTATTTATTTTTGGTTTTTGGAGACAGGGTTTCTCTGTGGCTTTGGAAGCTGTCCTGGAACTAACTCTTGTAGACCAGGCTGGTCTTGAACTCACAGAGATCCATCTGCCTGCCTCTGCCTCCCAAGTGCCAGGACTAAAGGCATGCACCACCAACGCCTGCTCAAGTTTCCTTTTTAATCACTCTCCACCTTATTATTGACCCCAGAGCTCACAAAGGCACTTCGCTAGCTGGCCAGAGCTACAGGTTGGCAAAGCTGGTTGGTAAGTGGGCTCCATGGACATCTGCCTATCCTCCCCACAACACCCCACTAGTGTTACACATGTGTGCTACCAAGCCCAAATTCAGCTATTATTTCCACCTAAACACCAAAGGGAGACATTTGAGTTGATCTGCGTAGCAGAGAGAGATATTTCACCTAATGGCACTTGGAGTACATGACTGGCACAAAATGTCAGGGGGGCTTAAGCTATAGCTTATTTCACAAATAAATAATAAATAAATAAATATTTGGGGAGGCAGAGGCAGGGGGACCAGGAGTTCAGGCCAATTTAATCTATTAATGATTAAATCTAAAATCATTAAATCTAAATTTAATGAGTTTAAACCAAGCCTAGTCTATACAAGAACCTTTCTCAAAAACCAAACAGAGGGCCAGGCAGTGGCGGCATGTGCTGTTAATCCCAGCACTCGGGAGGCAGAGGCAGGCAGATCTCTGTGAGTTCAGGGCCAGCTTGGTCTACAGAGTGAGTTCCAGAACAGGCTCCAAAGTTACACAGAGAAACCCTGTCTGGAAAAACAAAAACACAAACAAAAGAAAACCGAGAGTTTCTTCCCAGAATTCTGATATTCAGTTATTTTTTCCAAATAAGGACAAATAATACACCAAGAAATAACAAAATCACTTAGGAAGAAAATTGCTCTTCAAAGTAGTGCTTTTTGTGTGGTGTATGTGTATACATTTATGTATGTATGTGTGTGTATGTATGGGTGTTCTCAACCAGGCACGCAGACGAAGAAGCCAGAGGTCTGTATCAGTGCCTTCCTCTATAATTTCCATTTTATTATTTTTTGTTTGTTCATTTTGAGACAAGGTTTGTTAATGAACCTGGAACTCGCTCTTTCAGATAGGCTGTCTGGCCATCCAGAGAGCTGCCCAGGACTGGAGTTACAGGTGTATGCTGTGTCTGTATTTTTAGGTGAGCACGGGAATTTGAACTCAGGTCCTCAGACTTGTACAGCAAGTGTTTTGCAGACTGAGTTATCTCTTCAACCCCTAAAGCAGTATTTCTTTTTAAGATTTATTTTTTATTTTAACTCTCTCTCTCTCTCTCTCTCTCTCTCTCTCTCTCTGTGTGTGTGTGTGTGTGTGTGTGTGTGTGTGTGTGTGTGTGTGAGTGTGAGTGTGTGTGTGTTATGGGTGATGTGCCTGCAGGTGCCCAGGGAGGCCAGAAGAAGGTGTCAGAATTCCTGGAGCTAGAGTCACAGGCAGCTGTGAGATGTTTGATATGGGTAATGGGAACTGAGATCAGATCTTTTGCAAAAGCAATATGTACTTTTAACTGTTGAGCCATTTCCCCAGGCCCCTAGTATTTCTTAACCTTTACTGTGCAATAAAATTTCCTCAGCGATTTTCATAATGCAGGTACTTGCAATCCATTATATGACAAAAAGTTCTTGCATCACTATTGTTTAAATATACATAGTATTAATATATAGCAGGCCTGTGCATCACTCTCTCACTACCAAACAGATAACACTACTGCTATAATGAATGACCGCCTTTCCAGTTTAATCTATTGTCTTAGGATTTCTATTGCTGTGATGGAACACCATGACTAAAAGCAACTTGGGGAGGAAACGGTTTATTTGGCTTACACTTCAGCATTGCTGTTCATCACTGAAGTAAGTCAGGACAGGAACTCAAACAGGACAGGATCTGGGAGACAGGAGGTGATGGATGCAGAGGCCATTGGAGGGGAGCTGCTCACTGGCTTGCTTCCTCTGGCTTGCTCGCCCACCTTCTTATAGAACCAGGACCACCAGCCCAGGGATGGCACCACCCACCATAGGGGTAGGCCCTCCCCCATTGATCACTAAATGAGAAAATGTCTTACAGTTGGATCTCAAGGAGGCATTTCCTCAGCTGACTTCCTTCCTCTGATGACTCTAGCTTGTGTCAAGTTGACACACAAAACCACCAGGACACCTTTGTTCAATGAAAGTCAATCTTTTATAGTATATTTACACAGGTGTTAGTATATACTATCTATCTTGCCATCAATGACACAGTTATCCACAACACAAATGAAATCAGAGGAGCCCAATTTGCCAACAGACTTGGAATCTAACTGTTACCTACAGGGGCAACACAGTTGATCCTTACTCCACTGCTGGCCCATGCCAAAGCCATGGATTTGGTGAGGTTGTAAACACCTTCTCTTGCAGCTCCAGAGTGCCTTTAAAGACATAAACATTATCATCAGTTTCGGTTGAACATTTTTCTCATAAACTGACTTGACAGGAATATCAGTGACTTGAGCACTCCAGAAGATTGCTTTTATTATGAGTCTGTCATGTTGAGTCTCTGTTTAAAGAGATGGCTTAGTGGGTAAAGGCTCCCACTCCAAAGCCTGACTGCCTGAGTCCATTCCCAAGACCACACTGTGGAAGGAGAGAAACAACCCGGCAAGTTGTCCTCTGATCTCCATACACGTGCTGTGGTGCATAATACCCTAAGTGAAAATGAAAACTAAATAAAAACCGCACAAATATATAATGTTTAAAAAATTTAAAAAGTGGGACATGGTGGTGCAGGTCTTTAATCCCAGCACCTGGGAAGCACAACAGTTGGATAGCTCTGATATGAAGCAATCCTGGTCTACATAGCAAGTTCCAGTCAAGCCAGGAATACATGCCAAGCACACATACAAACCAGGCAACCCTGTCTCAACAACAAGCAAGATTTTAGGTCTGCACTGTTCAGGGGCTCATGAAGAATGTGGAAATGGGCCAGGGGGCGTGGCTCTACTGGTAGCATGCTTAGCCTGCATGCACGAAGCCCTGGATTCAATACCTAGCATCACATAAAACCAGGCAGAATGACACATGGTCATCCTTAGCTGCATATCAAGTATAATGTCAGCTTGTGATACATGAGACCCTGACTCCATAACAAACACAAAGAAACTAGAGGAAACACCACACACACACACACACACACACACACACACACACACACACACACCTTTTAAAAAAGAAGGTACAGAGATAATGTGATTCAGGATTTCTATATACAACATAATGCTATCCCCTGAACAAAGTGCACTATGGCTTAATGTGAAAATATTAACATAGAAAATTAGGGAAAATATTCTATTCAAAAGCATCTGAAGGGCTGGAGAGATGGCTCAGCAGTTAAGAGCACTGACTGCTCTTTCAGAGGTCCTGAGTTCAATTCCCAGCAACCACATGGTGGCTCACAACTACCTTGAATGAGATCTGGGGCCCTCTGCTGGCATGCAGGCAGAAGACTTTATACATAATAAGAAAAAAAAAAAAAAAGCATCTGAAATCAGCCATGGAAAGACAGACTAGGTAGTAAGTGATGAAGGGCTGATTGATTATTTACAGTTTAGTACATCTGAAAGATCTCTCTCTCTCTCTCTCTCTCTCTCTCTCTCTCTCTCTCTCTCTCTCTCACTCTCTCCCCCCTCTCTCTTTCACACACACATCACTTACATATATCTCACTGGGTAAAGAATTTGGGTCTTGGGCTGAAGAGATGGCTCAGCAGTTAAGAGCTAGTATGTAACAGTTAACTTTGCTTGTCAGCTTGGTTGGATTAATAAGCACCTAGGTATTAGTAAGGTGTGCCTTCAGTGTGCCCGTAAGATGTTTCCTGAGAGAATTAAATGGGGTTCACTGTGGGGAAGGGAGAGGAAAGACCCACCCTGAATGTGGGCAAGAACATTACGAAGAGACAAGTTATTGATTACCAGCATTCTCCTTTCTTTGCTTCCTGGCTCACTACAATGGATGATGGAACCCTCTCCTGGCTCACTATGATAGATGATAAACCCCCTCCTGGCTCACTACAATGGATGGAACCATCTGAAGCCATGAGCCAAAGCAAACCCTTCCTCTGATAAGCTGTCTCTGCAAGGCACATTAGAGAAACAAAGAGTAACCCATACTCTACACAACTGAAGGAGTCCAGATAATATAGGAAGCAAGTAGTACGTTCTTAAAATTTCCATAGAGGAAGTCAACTTGTTACTTGTATAGTGACTAGTTGGATGTACAATCCCTCAGAAATTTGGGGGACGATGACTCTGAGTTTCTGTTATGAGCTACAATTTAGCAGTCCTAAAATCAAACAGATATATTCATGGTGTTCAAATCTAAATTAATCCAGATCAATTTAATTTTCATAATTTGCAAAGAAGCTATTTCCTACAGCGATGACTAGTTTAGTAACATATTGATTAGTTGCCAGAAAAGACACAGGACCTCCAGGTGATATGTATTTTGGGTAGATAATAAACACAAATACCTCCACAAAAACATCAAGCTCACCCCCCAGTGGCATACCGCTTCATAAGGCCACACCCACTCCAATGAGGCCACACTTCCTAATCCCTCCCAAATGGTTCCACTAACTGGGGACCAAACATGCAAAAATATAAACCTATGGGAGCCATTCTAATTCAAACCACATAGAGCCACCTTAATCTGAATGGGCGTTATTAGCAACTAGGGAAAAGGCAGGTAGGTAGGTAAAGTGCTTGCTGCTCAAACTTGAGGATGTGGGTTTGGATCCTTGCACTCACATAAAAGTCAGCATGCTTATAATTCCAGCAAGGGGAAGGAGGAGACAGAGACAGGAGAGTGCCTGAGACTCACAGCCAGCCATTCTAGCCAAGTCAGAAAGCTGTAGTTAGAGATGACTGATGCTGACCTCTGGCCTCACAGAACACACAATTTTTTAAAGGTTCAAATAAAAGGAAATGGAAGATGAATCTGATCAAATATATTGTATGAGCATTTCCATGAATTAATAACATTATTTTAAAAGGAAAGTATTAGAGTTGAAGTTAAATCAATAAATCATTGATTTAAAACATTTTTCATTATTGCCCCTCATTCAGAGAACAAAACCTAAAGACATAGAAAGAAAAAAATACAAAATACTTACGAGGCTGCTGGAAACCCATTGTTAATAAGGACAATGATATTGACAATAGATCCCCCATGTTTTTTCATCCAGGAATTGTAAACTGTGGAACACAGACAAACGGCAATCATATTAAACAGTGTGCTGAGTCTTCCTTTATTATATCCTGCTCCAGCATACATTTGATGTCCTCATCTTCTCCTCCTCCTCCTCCTCCTCCTCCTCCTCCTCCTTTTTTGTTGTTGTTGTTTTGAGACACCGTTTTTCTGTGCAGCCTTAGCTGTACGGGAACTAGCTCTGTAGACCAGGCTGGCTTTGAACTCAGAGAGATCTGCTTGCCTCTGCCTCCCAAGTGCTGGGATTAAAAGTGCACCATCACTGCCTGGCATGGTATCTTCTATTCTAATTTAGTTTTTGTTATTGAGACGAGGTCTTGTGTAGCCCAGGATGATCTACAATTGCTATATAGTAAGAAGCTAATTTAATAAACTATGAGGTAAAGCTGAACGATGTCAAGGAAAGATACAAAATGAGCTTGAAAATTTCTTCAATAAACAAATAATCTAGATGAAAATTATTGGAGCATTGACTCACTTAAAATGGCAATAGCCATAAAGTATCTAGTATAACCTGAACTTAAAAAGAATTCTTTTTAGCCAGGTGGTGGTGGTACACATGCCTAGGTCTCTGCACCTGTGAGGTAGGGGGGTCATGAGGTCAAGGCCAACCTTGGCTAAAAAGCAGGTCCCAGGTCAGTCTGAACTACATGGTGAGGCCCTATCTGGAGAGGGGGAAGAAAGGAAAGGAAGGAAGGAAGGAAGGATCTATGAAATCCTTTTGCATACTCCACAGTTCTCTGGATTTTTGATGTGACAAACTATTCCAGGCTTCTTTTGCCCATTTCTTTCCCCACATCAAGAGTAACAAATCTCTTTAAAAAGTCTCAATTCCATTCAGAGACCACAGTGCACTTGAAGGAGCCCTCAATGTTACTGGGTCAGTGAGTGTTTCTTTTCATTAGACAAATCAGAAATATATATTTCAGTGAAAACTCTATCATTGGACACTTCCAATTTAGTTCAGTCATGAAGGAGATCCACTTGGGGTCATCTTCCTACACCCATTCATTCTTTCTCTATGCGCCAAAAATCCCAGTTCTTGATTTTTTTTTTTCAAGACAGGGTTTCTCTGTGGCTTTGGAGGCTGTCCT